GGAGAAGAGGAAGGAGGAGACCTTGAGACAAACCGAGTTAGAGGCATGATGGAAGGAACTGAGACATAGAAAGGAAAAAGAAAAAATAACCTGAGAGTAGTTATATTAATTCAGGACATATCAGAGGGGAGCTGGGATGGAAGGTAGTTAGATGGAGATTAGATCGGTTAGCCAGAAATGGTTTAGGAAAGGTTCCCTAAAATAGAAGATTAAGGGTAATGAAGCGGTTGGAAGGAAAGAGGGGAAAATTCCCTTCCTCTTCCACGAACACCTTTCCGGATCATGCGTTCATTCAGCAAGCATTTACTGAGTATCCACGGTGTGTGCCAGGCGCAAGGCTCCTGTTCTTTGGAACCCCACAGTCTAATGGGAGAGAAAGACCTGTAAACGAATAATGGCAGCCTTGTGACAAGAGCTGCCATGAACACTGTAAGAAGGCTCTGGACTAGAGGCACCTGGGTGGCTCAGTTGGTTAAGTATCAGACTCTTCACCTGAGGTCATGATCCCACAGTTGGTGAGTTTGAGCCCCAAGTCAGGCTCTGCACTGATAATGTGGAGCCTGCTTGAGATACTGTCTCTCCCTCTCTGCCCCTTCCCCAGTTGTTCTCTCTCTTTCTCTCTCTCTCTCTCAAAATAAATAAATAAACTTTAAAAAAAGAAAGAAAGCCCTGGATTAGATCTAGTTGGGGAAAGGAGACTTGGAAGTGTGTTTCTAAGTTTCCTAGAGGAGATACTATGTGAGGCAACACTTGGAAAGTGAATTGGAAAAGCATACCAGGCAGAGAAAGTATTTGCAGAGGGCTGGAGACAAGGTAGAACAAAGCCTTTCAGCGTGATTAGAGTCCTGGCTTTCAAGAGAGGGACTATCAGAAGAGAGGCTATTGAAATTAGGTCCAAATTTTGCAGGGCCTGGTAGGTCATTTTAAGGAGCTTACAGGTAACCTTCCCTACAGAAGATGGAGAGGTTTGAAGGACATGTTGCATTTGAATCTTAGGAAGGTAACTCTGGCAGACTGTGGGAAAAGAATTGGCCTGAGAGAGTATAGGGCCCCTTATAGAGGCTTCTGAAATAACCTAGGTGAAAAAATGCTGAAGGCTTGAAATAAGTCAGTGGCAATAAGAAACGGAGATGAGGGGAAGAGTTTGAGATGTTTGGGAACTTCTAGCACTGAACATCACACAGCACTGCAGTCTCCTTGTTCTGTCTGCATACGGGCACAGCCGAGCTTGGCTTTACAGCAGGACTTTTGTATTCAACTTGGTATCCGCAGTCACTCTTGCTGAAAGTTAGCAGTATGACTTTGCAAATGAAATACTAGGAGGAATATGGAGAAGACGAGAAGAAAGGAGTATGCCTAGGAGAGTGCTGAGAGGAAGACAGTGAAATGCAGGAAGTCCGTGAATTGGAGTGACCGTTCCCCACCTCTTCTTTGGTCCCCAATTCCTCGCCCTCCGGAGACTCCGGGATCTACAACCAGCGTCCGCTTTTCCCGCCATTCATGGACGGCTCCGCCTCCCTAGAGCTCATTGGCTAAGAGCACATCAACACCAGATCACGCCCCCTTCGTGACTCCGGCTGTGTTTCCCTGCCTCTTCCTCCCTTACTTGGGGGCCCGCCCCCATCTGCTAGGCCACGCCCATGCCGGAGTCTTCCCTGGAGGCGGGCTTCCTTGGCCCCGCCCTCTACGGGGGAGGCTCCCGCCAGGGGGCGCAGCGCAACCCGCCGCCTGCCTCCCGCCCGCGAGTCTGGCGCACACACCCCCTCCGCCCCGCGAGCCGGCAGCTCGGAGCCCGCCGGGCTGCGCCGGCTCCTGCTCCGGGAGGGGTCGGCGTCCCGGATGGCCGCGGCAGGGTCTAGGACGCCAAGCGTGTAAGCCACCGGGCATCATGGAGGCAGAGCAGCGGCCGACTACGGGAGCTGGCGAACGGGCGACCCCTGGGCTGGAAGCGGCGCCTCTGGCTGCTCCGGCGCCTGTGACCGCGGCCTCGGGACCGCTGCCCGGGTCTGGGCCCGAGCCCAAGAGAAGGCAACTCGGGACGCTGCTCCAGCCCACGGTCAACAAGTTCTCCCTTCGCGTGTTCGGCAGCCACAAGGCAGTGGAAATCGAGCAGGAGAGGGTCAAGTCAGCGGGGGCCTGGATCATCCACCCCTACAGCGACTTCCGGTACTGGGGCCCCAGCAAGGAGGGCGGGGGACACAGATCCCACCCCCATGGGCCGCGACACGGAGGCAGGGCACGCCTCACCCTCTACAGACTCTTCGTTTCCGGCCCGGGGGTCCTTGGGTGGGACAACAGAGTCACTTCCCCCAGTCTAGCCTGGGAATTCTTGGGCGAGGGATCCCCAGCCGGAGGTCTTCAGTGACTTGACACCAGAGGAGACACTAGAGACCTGGGTTTACCGTTTCAGGAATCCAGAACTCCACCTGGACCACAGGGACTACTGGAGTTAGGGACGACTGCCTCCTGCAGTCCTGCCGGCTGGGGATCTGGGAAATTATGCCATGTTCCAAGGCTCGGGGTCAGCCTGAGGGGGAAACCGAGCTCTGCTGTCTCCTACCCCCAGCACCTGCCTAGTTCAACAGGGCCGACTACCAGGAAAAATAGAGACGCTGGCGGGGCGCGGGCCGGGGATGTCCCGGCTGCGGTTCTTGCCGCTGTCCCTGGTGCTGAAGGCGGGATGTAGCGGGGCAGGGCCGGACTCCCAGCGATTGAGGAAGCAAGACAGGGGCACCCTCCCAGGTGCCTATCAGAGGGACCGAGGGTGGAGGTGGGGCCATTTCACAGTCCCCGTCAGGCTGTACCTCTACATCAAGGTCGCTAGGGGAGGAGAGCAGCTCTGTCCTTGGGGGAAATGAAGGACAGCTTTTGGATGAGGCAACAGTGTGTACAAAGCACCTCAGGTGGGGAGCAAAATGAGCAGGAAAGATGAGGTGTGGATCAGGAGCCTGGAAACACAAGTGGAGACCTGGACATCACTTCGAACCCACAGACACACACACTCCCTAAATGTCCCTCTTTCTTCCATTGTTCCTTCCTCTCCCCTCTTCTTTACTGCCTCATCCCTACCCCACCAGTGCACCTGTTTTAGCCTCCTGTGATCTCCCCCCCAATTTTACCCGCAGATGTGTCCCCAGAAGCCGTGTATTATCATGCCGCTTCTCTGTCTTCTCTACTGCATCACCCGCTAAGCTTGTGACTGCCTGTGAGTCAGGCTGTGAAGATGCTCCATGGCTGGGCGAGCCCTCTCCTCTCCTCTCCTCCCCTCCCCTCCC